ATATGTGAAGGGATCCCTGCTTGCCACACCAGGGAGTCGGGGCTAGGCACGAGGGGCACCAGAGCCCTGGCCCGAAAGGCACAAGCAAGACGGGTTTCTGTTCTCACCCCACGTAATGAGGCACACACATGGCTTTGAAACGCTGAACACATACCCTCAGTCTGGAGCAAATGGTGTCAGGTGCCTCCTGGGTTCCTTGGGAGACTTCTCATATTGCCAGCAGGTGTGTGGGGTGGGGCAAAGTGCCTAAGCAGGCCCGGGAACCTGCCTTCTGCACAAGATGGCTGGGCAGGGCATTGGCTGGCAGCCCTGAGAAGTAATTTGCCCCAGGGACAGGGCTGAGTAAGACCACGTCCACCCTGGAGCAAAGGAGGGAGGACACAGAGCCCCCACTGCCACTCTCAGAGTTACAGTCCTCTTCCTGCTCTGTTTGTGGGGCAGTGCCGCTACAGCATCTCTTACTTGCTACCCGTGAGACCTGACCTGAAACTGCACCCAGCCAATAAAGCTTACAGGAAACAAACGGTTTGTTGAACGGATTGGAGGTGCTTAGGTGGCCCCCGTGCCTTGTAACATTTGTTGTATGTATGCTCCCCCTGCCCAGGAGAGATGGGGTGACATGACCATCATTCCCTACTTTACAGCGGGGAAATTGTTGCATACACAGGAGAAGGCCCAGATTCTCGGATGTACCAAGACGCGTACTCTCCACTGACCTCCATGGAAGACAGAAGCCAAAAACCCTTTCAGGAGCCCAGTTTAACTGACTGGCAGAAGATCCAATAGGATGCCTGAGGGGGAAAAAAGAACTAAATGCAGTTCTTTCAAGCTCTAGCCTCACTAAGCCGCTGGGCCATCCCTCATGCCTGAGCATACATTTTGTGGATGAGAAACGCAAAGGTTTAATATTGTCTAAGCTTTCCTAGACCTGCTTATTCTGCTTCATCTCCCTGATGAATTCCAAAGCCTCAGTGATCTCCCCGTCTAGTCTCCTGACGTCAGGAGTTACACTCAGCCAGCCAGGCAGCGGACACCGTGCCCTCCGCCAGCTAAACAGGCCCCTCGCACCGAATGAACTCAGTTCCCTTGCCGAATATTGACTAGCAAATATTGGAAGCAGCTGCCCACAATTCAGGGAGTGAAAGAAGAAACAACCCTCCATAAAACGGAGTCACTGAATTTTGAACTTGTCCAGCTGCTCGCAGAATGTGAGCGAGGGAAAAGAGGCAAAGGTGACAAATGCATTATTCATTGCGCATCCTACTCCCTGCTCAAGGCTCCGTTACCATGACGCATTCTGCGGCACACCTGAAGTAGGCTGGCAAGATCAGTGAATAATCAAGAGGCTGGTTTGGGGTATTTTCTTACATTGTAACCTTTGGGGGGGGCAAGGACTACTTTTCTGTTCTGTTCAGCTCGGGGGAGCTGGTCTGTGGACTACAAAAATACAAATTACTCATAGCAACGATGATAATAATGAAGAGGATGAAGAATGGGTGTGGCCATACAGTTCAACACCAGCTAATGAAGAATGAATTGCATACTGGAAGTTCTCTGTATTCGCAATATGATTCCAAACCATCTTACAAGCCTGAGTGATAAAAACACAGAACCTTCCTCTCTTGGTCAGCTGGCACATGGTTATCTTCTGCATGAAACTGATCCCCGGAAAAAAAGTGATCCCCATCAAATAAGTCTCCTTTGGTGGATTAGGCGTCTCTCTCAGCCTGTAATCATTAGGCAGTTCAATTCTGAGTGACAGTTTTTCTTATTTAAGTTCTGACTTGCAAATCCTGGGGCAGATCGGCTGTCTCTCACCTAGGCCGACTCGTATTTGTTGTATCACTGACTGACTTCCTGAGTCGCCACTTACCGCAAACTGGAGGATTTGGCTGGGTTGTGATTTTTGTGCTGGTCTCTTTGAAAGATGAAAAAAGACCAGTTACCACACCAACTTCTGAAAGCTGGAGAAGCGGTGCACTCTGCCTCCGGAAAAGATCATTGGGTTGGACATTTTTCAAACAAATCATCGGATCAACATTAGTTTTAACTGTGCATCTAGCTCAAGCAATAGGCTGATAGTCTCACAATCCCATTTGCAGAAACGTATATTTGAAGAACTCTGCAATACATTTGAATCAATATTTGACATGGTTTATTTTTTATTATACATATCTCTTTGCTCAAGACTCCCTTCAGCTTCATGTATTGGCTACAGAGAATTACCCATCACTCAAAGTCTATAAAGATTATGTACGTCTGCCACAAAGAGGAAACCATCAAAACTCTAAGCAATCTACCCATCCATCTCTCTGAAATTAAACCTCCTAAAATACCAGTTATTTTCATTTCTGGCTTTGCATTTGCTGGACATCCTTTATATCAACTTCCTGCTGCATTGGTCCCTTGTTTAGAGCACTTATTAGTCACATGTACATTAAAAAAAAGCATGTGCTAACTACAAGGTTCCACTTTATGGTAGCACTCCTCTGTCATGAAACCCTGGGAGAAGAGTGGAATCACAATTGTGCTGTAGTCAATGGCAGACTCTCAGTGATTTCAGTGAGACCAGAATGCCATCCCTTGACTCGCACGGTGCATTTACACTGTAGCTGCAGGTAGAGTCCCCAACTTTGGGAGACGTGGCCGAGTTAGCTTTGACTAAGTTGGTGTGCTAAAAATAGCAGTGTAGTCCTGGTGGCTAGACAGCTAGCCCCTCCAAGCACAATCTTGTCCGAGTGTAGATGAATACTTGAGGTGGCTAGCCTGTTGTGCCAGCCCAAGACACCATGCCTGCCCAGGGTAGCTCAATCAAAGCTGCAAAGTGTCTAATCAACTGCTATGGCCAGCCTGCAAATTTCACTGAATTGAAAGGAAATTATTGGCTGGAAGAGGAAATGCTTTAATTTCTACTGAACATAGTCTCTTCCCGGTGCAGGACACCCACACTTCTTGGGGACTATAATTACACAAACTTCTAAAAGGAAAATGTATTCTTTGAAGACTGAATTGATGCAAAACACTCTGCAATGCAGCACTTAAAAGTGTGCTATGGTACCTTCTTTTTTCTTAATGTATTCAAAGGACAGAACATATCAGACATGGAAAAGAAGAATAAGGTCATCGATTGCCGTCTCCCTCACATGGTTGTTCTCCTCAGAAGAGCTCTGTACAGTGTAAGGGCTTGTCCACACGGGGACAGTTGGGAGAGTTAATGCAAATTAACTCAATGTGCAAAGCTTAAGTGGATTAGTTAAACCACACTCAGACACTGAGGAGGCTCGCATTCAGAATTAAAATACCTGTAATGTAATTTAGCTTAATTCACCTTGGAAGGTAATCCCTAAGTTTTGAACACGTGAGTAGCCCACTGAGTTAAAGGGGAAAACTTTGCATGCTTAAACTTAAGCATAAGGTAAAGTTTTTGCAGGATGAGAACCTCTAAACTTCTTATAAGATATGTTAAATACATTATTGGCCAAAGGGAAAAAAAATAAAAAATAGATGAGAGTTTGCTGTGTCTTTTTTTTCTCCGACTTAGCAAAATCTAAGAGACAGAGAAGAAGAACACGGCAGAAAAAGAGGAAGAAAGAAGGAGGAGGAGGAAGAGGTGCTGGTTGTTTGTGGCTACTCTCTCCAAAATCTTAAGAGTACGCAGTCTGAGTGACAGAAACGTTTCCTTATCTTTCCTGGTGGTACTTTGGGTGCTTCATTTACCTTTACGGTCCTGCCTTGCCAGCTTGTAGTATTAGCACAGATTTTTCTCAAGGGACAGCACACCCCTGGGCAGCTGGCCCAGCAAGGAGTCCCCTGAGTGGAGGCACCAGGTGCCAGAAAAGAACACAAGTCTTAACCAATGAGATGAGAGAAAGCGACTCTAATTGCTGGTGAGAGCAAATGCCCAGAAGAGGAAAAGGGGCGGGGTTGAAGCCACATGAGTAGGCAGGGCTCCCTTTTCTCTCTCTCTCTCCCCCCTCCCCACCCCGCTGACTGGTCTACATGGAGAATTTACCTTACTTGTTTCAAGTGAAAATGTGCGTGCAAGCAGCACAGACTAAGTGAGGACTGCTCCACTGAAATGGGGCCCAGCTTGGGCCACCTCTCACCCAAATCCCTTCAGACACAGATCTGTGCAACGTGGACCTCTCCCCTACACTCTTGGGGCACCAGGAACAGCTCCCCACCACCCTCCGCGTGGCCTTGGGAGGAGAACATCCAAGAGGAGTTGACTGGAAATTCTAGATGGGAGGGGCAAGTGCCGTCAATGCAGAGACCGAGAACTCCCTACAGTTCTGATAGGACTTTCTCTGCCCTGTGCTGACTGGCTGTTTGCTGCAACCCTGCCGTGCCCTCACAATATTCACCGCAGAGTCTCTTCAGGCCTCCCCCTCGCACCTGCTCTGTGCCTCTTGCCCTTCCATTTCACTGATCTCTGCTGAATTAAACCCACCCCCAGAGTGGAACCAACAAGTGATTTGCCATGATCTCATTCTGCACGTTACTGGCGTGCTCCACCCTTACACCACCTTGGGTCGGTTTCATCTATGTGTATCCCCTACCCGAGTTTGTACAGCACCTCCCAAAACGGGGCTCCGGTCTTGGTTGGCTCTTAGGTACTACTGCAATAAATGATAACAGAAACACTACTCACAAGACAGAACAAACTCCTTTCCTCATTTGGAGACCTCAAAAAATGGCTGAAAGGATTTTCTTCCATCTGTCTCTTCCCCCCGCCACCCGTTTTCCAGTGATTTTCTGCCCCACCGTTCCTGCAAGTGTCAAGCAAGGCAGCAGGGAGTGCTAACGTTATCCTGTAACGGTCACTAGAGAATTGGCTGCCACAAAGGCTAGAGGGATTAGAAAAGCGGACACACGGATAGCACCAGACATTCAAGTCAAATAGCTGAGACAGATTGATTTAAAAAAAAAAACCACTAGAAATACCTGGACATAGGCCCTGCAGGTGACAGATTGATTTAAAAAAAACACACTAGAAATACCTGGACATAGGCCCTGCAAGAGCGCTCCCTTTTCTGAAGCTGAATCCATAAAGACAGCAGATTAAAGACAGAATAGAAAAAAAAACCAAGTTAGTGACAGAAGAAAACAAGGGAAAATATAAAGAAAACATCTACCCCAAACCGACTGTTCCTCTGTTAATGAGTTTCCAGGAGAAGGTGCACGCAGTGGAATGTCGTGAGGGCCGGCTCTGGAAACAGCAGGTTAGTTCTTTTTAGGAAAGCACAGACAGGAAACACTACGACAGCAGCTGTTAGTTATGGCAGCAGACCTTGAGGCAACTGGTAATGATGTAATGATGCCAGAGAGGACGGGCCTTATTCTTCACTTGCGCAAGGCTCCTTTACATTCCTCGGATGGTGTCAAGGGGTATAAATTATAGTTAAATGAGAATCAGGCTGACTCGCTGCAGGCTGGGTGACTTGATCTTTGTGCTGGGGGTGTCAATTCCAGTCCCCGCCAGCATGTTGGGAGTTAAATGGGCCACGTGGCTGCTGCTGGCACATGATAAAACTCCCCTAGTGCATGTTAACATAGTGAAAGTTTTTAGCAAAAGAATATGATGCTTAACCACCAGCCCAGTTCATTTCACATTGACTTGCATTAAAACAAACAAATGAACAAACAAAAAAGAACAACAACAACAACAACAAAACAAACAAAAAACACCAAGGGTGCGTCTACACAGCACCCAAAACTTGAAATAAGATAGGCCATTTGCGCTACGCAAATTGTGTAGCTTATTTCTAGTCTATTTCGAAATAGTTACACAGCGCCAAATTCTGAAATAAAACGCTGTTTTGAGCCATCTCTTGCCCCTCGTAGAAGGAGGTTTATAGGGCTGGCGAAATAGTGCATCCACTATATTTCCCTTGCCCCTCGTACAGGGCTGGCGAAATAGCGCATCCACTATATTTCGAAATAGCAGACATGCTCAAAAGACGCGGGGTAGCTATTTGGGGGTAACTCTGGTATCCCGAAATAACCTTGCTGGGTAGACATACCCCAAGAGCCCATGCGGGGTAGCTATTTGGGGATAGCTCTGGTATCCTGAAATAACCTTGCTGGGTAGACATACCCCAAGAGCCCAGGTCACTATTTTCAGGCCACGTACTGAGCAAAGTCCTTTCTGTGGCTATATACATCCCTCCACGTTTAAACAAGTATTTGATGGCTGGTGCTTGCCTTCTTCTAAGAGCCCAGGTTGCTATTTTCAGGCCACGTACTGAGCAAGTCCTTTCTGTGGCTATATGCACCCCTCCACGTTTAAACAAATATTTGATGGCTGGTGCTTGCCTTCTTCCCCCCTCTATCTAAACAAGACAAAATAAAAACTTTTTGCTAATTACTGTTTTGGGGGGAGGTGCACTACCGTGGATGAGTGAAGGGGATAAAGGAGTGTTTGCCCAATGTTACTTCCAACTTTAATCCGTGCATTCTTAAATGAACACGGAGCCCTTGCTCCTATAAAGAATTAAGTGGGGAATGAGAGCAAGTAAATTACTGAGCCTGTCATTTGGATCACTGACTCGTATCACTGATTTGCCGGCCTCCACACACTCCAGAATTTTAATGTGCAGCACAATTGATTTGTTCTAGTTGATGGTGGAAACCTGGGTGGGGGGGAGGTCAAAACTATTTGAGGGGGCCACAGAAAGTCTGAGCAGAATGAGAAACAGTGTTGTGACATTCCTCTTGCTACAACCAAATTGTCACAGAAATGGAAAAATGTCAGAAGGTGAAAGAGACAAGGATTAAAAACATGTTTGGCAAAGCAAAGGTGACGGGCGGCTGTATGCAGCTAGGCAGCATTCCGAGTAGCAAGCAAATTAGAACCATGTAACCAGTTAGCATGTGACAGTAATTGTCAGTTTTTACCCGAGGTTGTCAGATACCAACATGGCTAAAAGATTTGCAGTAGGTCTGTAATGAATTGTTACATTGCTGTAACAGTTAATACCTACACCATTATAGGATAGCTTGAAGCAATATTAATTAATAACATCACGGTAATCCAGCTGACAGCACATGCAAAGCACAGAACTCCAACTCCTAGAGTTGTTTGGTTTTTTTAAACGTAACAATCCAAATGATCCTTTGTGCTTAAAACACATAAACCGACAGCAACAGAGTGCATCAAAGAGATAACTTTGCTTTGCAGAGAATTATTTGGTTACCCCGCCCCAAAATATGGTAAACACAGAAAATATCAGGTGTATCAGTGACAACCACCACTCCCCAGCTAACCTGGGAACCCAATTCTACTTTTAGCTACACAGATGCCTCTGCCATTACAGCCTATGGCATAACACAGTGCAGAATGTGGTACCTTGTTTTAATAATACAGTCTACATAACTGAGAGTTCTTTTTCTTAAGGACCAATGCAAGGTCTACATGAATCACCACTTTATATTCATATAGGCCCTATTTTCAGAACTTAACTGATATTTAAATGATGTGTAAGCCCCGGGCTGACTTTTTACACAGGAGTGGATTTCACCTTAAAGGATTTTTATGAACTCCACAGCTAAGAATTCAACTATCATCCACTTCCCAACTTTTAACGTTTAAATGGCCATCAATGCCCATGTCTGGAGATAATAATCATTTTCCATCACAGGAACCACGCTGTAATCTTGATACAAAAGGTAGGCCTAGAAAAAATGATACCTATAAAGAACTGTCCAATGTTACATTGCCTTCCCAGGCTGAGCTATTTTTTAAAGTGTTTTTCTCATTAACATTCACTTTGCTGCTTCAAATACATGTGCCTCCTCCCATCAATGTAAATTTCTTGGCCATGACTTTTATAAACCCAGATCCCTCATTTTGTGGTTTAGAATATGAGGGTTATTTCATAAGGATTCAGCAATAGGCTCACTGGGGAAAGTACCACTCCCAGTCACCTTGGTGTGAATCCAGAATCATTCCAATTGTTTCTCTCCAGCTCCTGGGAACAAAATTAAACCTCATGGAGTTCATTCAGTGAGGCATGTAAGGATCGACATTTTCCAGTACTAGCACCACACTTGACATTAATAACTGTTCCACAATGCGACAGACTAAAAATATAAATTGTAATCGAAACAGTCACGCACACCTACTGCTGAGAAAGAAACCCATCCCAACATCGCCAGGCCTTCTCCCAGCTCTCTGGAGGACACACAATTGTTGCTTACCCTCCGGGCCCTCCCCAGCGCCTTCGTTCCTTACCTTGTTTAAACTGCGCGCAGCACTGTCTTTCCCACCTGGAGTCAAGTTTCGGAGCTGCACATCCAGCAAGCCGACCAGCTGGTCCATGGCGCGCACGGAATACGTGATGTCTCCAGCGTTCAAGTGGGTTTTCGTCTGCTCTGCAAGCTCTCTGGCAATGTTGGCAGCTGTCTCCCCGGACTTCAGCTAGGATTTAAAGCACAGGAGAAAATGGAAAGATGCTTCATTCTTCCTTGCTAAACGAGAAATCGTTTGGAAGGAAAAGGATCCCGTTTTCTCCTTTCAGATGTGTAGGTAAGTATCACTGTACAATCGGACTGGATCTTTACTGTGACCGCAAAATCTTCAATTACCCCTATGTCTTAATCAGCCTCAGATGGCAAGGATTACACACTTTATTCTTAAAGACTGCTGCGTGTCATAGCGGGCAGATGATTTAAAATGGGATGCAAAACTGTTTAATTATGCAATGCATTTTTCCCTGCAGCAGTGCAGCAATTTTGTGTTTTATTTTTACCATTCTGCTGTCCCGCTTACACAGCGGCTGGTAAAACAGCAAACTGGCTTGGGAAACAACGGTTCAAGCAAGGACCACAGAAGAGATTTCATGATTTCAAATCAGGGGAGCCAACTCTGACTACACACATACTGCTTTTTTGCCACACGGCGCTGCATTGACCTCAGTAGAATTGGTTCCCACCAGCATGCCGAGGTCAGAATCCGTCCCTAATACTGCACAGCACTAGAATCTATAGGCTCAATATTCCTTCGTACTGTAAACAGCCAGCAATTGCTGTAACAAAAAATAAAGATGTGGAGGTGGAAAAGCAGGTGCAGCTACCTTAAATGGAAGTACATAGTGGAATTCCCCTGTTCTTCAGCTAGACGGTAACATCTCAAGCCCTACCTTAGCACAATCAATGTGTAAATATGCATGGGGGTGTTAGGAAACTAATAGCAGCCTCAAACTCAGCAGCTGAACTGATGGAGAACAAAGAAGTTTCGTTTCAGCTACTGGTCCCAATGCCAAACTGACTTCTCTTCAACAGGAACAATATGAGACTGCGATAACCCACAGTAACTAAGGAAACAGACTGCAATTTTCCTAAGTTTGATTGAATAAGTAGAAGCATATTCAGCCATTCCAAGCCCTTTGCTGTTTAATACATTGGCCACTGCTGCCATTTGGAAGCCATATTAAACAGCAGGAGTGCTGCTCCTCAAACACTACTGTCTAATCTGAAAGCTTGACAGTGGTTTAAAGCATCCTATGACTGGCAGTGTGAAAACACGCCTGGACCAAGGGGGAAGTGTATCAGCATCAAACAAGGGACCAAGATTTCCTGTGCTGTCACAGAGGATCCTCCAGTAGGGACTGGTTAAAAGGCTATCTGGACTTCATCAGAGTTTAGAGATTTTTGCATCTGCATCATTCGCAGACTCCTGCCTCTCAGTATCACAAACAAAATCTGAACCTGGCATTACCCTGGTACATTTTTCCCCCTTTTTGGGATTTCATCTGTAACTTAAGCTGGTTTACGTTTCTGGCTTTGTACTTCCCTGCTCTGCACAGCATCAAGGGCAATTGTACAGGTGCAGGTCTGCATGAAGGTACAAATTCACTCCCGAGTTCAAGGGTCCTAGCAAGCTTTCCTCCAATAGATAAAAGCAGACATTTCTCTTCTTCACCCATTTGGGTGCCCATTTGAATGCTGGATGGTGGAAACAACAGGCAGCGCTTTTCTCTCCATGTCAATCAATGAAGTGGCGTAGAAATGAACTTACTACCATCAATTCAACAGCAACAATTGTCTGAGGTAATGCAATCAGACAGAAGATGCTCGTATATGCATCTTCAGAGAATTACAGAGCAATACAAGGTGGTGTTCTTTCCATTATATCTATGACAACTTGTATCCAAGGACTGAATTATTTTAACGCTACTGCTCATGTGTCTCATGCCATCGAGATCAGATTCTACTGTTAACAGGTGCCTGTCACTTTCTTCTCTGACAAGGCAGTCATGGAGCCCTGGATCCTAGTATTTTAAACTTTCCTCTTCCATTTCCTCTCAGTCCTAAAATAACTGGCGACCTGCAGTGAGTCACTGGGCCTCTAAAGTGATTCTGCTGGTCTCTGTTTTTTTGTGTGTGTTTGTTTTTATTCCAGAGGTAGCGAGAGTGTTAAGCCAGTAGATGACCTCAGAAATGCAACTGATTCTTGCAGTTGTGTTAATAGGCCCACCATGTGTTTTAGGAGTGAGCCCAGTGGCTCTAGGCCATGTCTCTTTGTATCTTTTCTAGTACTGCAGGTCACTGTGTTTAAAGTAGGTCTCCAGGTTGGACTCCAGGTGAAGCCGCCACACACAAGAGGCCTCTTCCTTTGCAGTCAACACTTTGCTTTATTCAGTTTCAGTCCATTGTTCCTAGCAACCTACAGGATTTTCAATAGGCCTTTTCACTGGAGTCTTCTTCTGTGTTCTCGCAATGATTTAAAAATAAAAAATAACTATGGAGACCAGGCACTCTTCCACAGTTCTACAGAATACTGTGGAGGCTAAACGAACACCAAAAAGGTGGTGTTGGACACGGTGCCTGTCGAAAGACATTAAAATGTCACCACGAACTCTCCTGAGTCATGAACATTTGCCAAAACTCATCTGATTTATCCACAAGGGTGAAGACTCTAACCCCTGTCATTTCCCCCTGGGTTTCAGATAAAACTCCTTCCATATTCAGTCCCAAAACTGTTCTCCAACTACTTCCAGCAGAATGCACGCATGGTCTGGAAGTTCCTTCACTCTATGCTCCTCAGAGCCACAGGGATGGTGCTGGCTGCGTGTAGGGGGAGAAAGGTGCAACAACTTGACATGCTACTGTTAGCTTCTCGAAACCTTAAGGATATACGTCTAGACTACAGGCTTTTATCAACTGTCAACAAAGCCTCTGTTGAAAACGGACGTCTAGACTACAGCCAGTTCTGTAGACAAAGCAAGCCACTTTTTTGACAGCGTCTAGACGCCCTCTTTTGAAAAAGCACAGCGTGGATGCAATAGCGCCTTTTTTGACATAGCTGTCGAGAAAAGGCGTTATTCCTCGTAGAATGAGGTTTACCGCCGTTGACAAAACTGCTGCATTCTGAAAACAGAACTTGGCGGTAGTGTAGACGCAGGTATAGTTTTGTCGACAAAAGTCCACTTTCGTCGACAAAACCCTGTAGTCTAAACACACCCTAGATGACTAAAAGGGCGAAGTTCTGAGTCATGTCTTGTTATACACTCAACATCAGTCCCTACCGCTAGCTTGATTCCAGGCCTAAGAAGCACCTTTCATCCCTTGGAATGACTTCTATGTGTACCTCTCTGTTTATCATATATGAAAGGGAGACGGCTCCTTCCTGCTGCAGAAACAGGGCACTGCGTGACTGCAGGATCTCTGCTTGCTTCATGAGCTAGCATCTGTCAGTCTGAATGGGCCAGTCAGACAGATAATGCCTTTATTTCAGGATGTGTGCCCACTTGATGCCCAGGGACTGGGAATTGTATATAAAGGGTAATAGGCCATTCTTTGTCACTGGCAACTATGATATGGAACCACTGCACAGCTTTTCATCACTCAGGTTATCCATGTATCCCTTCCAAGTATTTACACGTTCCTTCTGCCGGCGTGGGTCTGCAAACTGGCTGCATTCATTGCAAATGCTGCACTTTTGGCTAGATGAGAGAGAGCCTGTAGGTTCACTTCCAGAATTCATACACAGCCATCAGCCTGTCCTCTGCTTTCATGCTCTTCCTTCTGCTGACTGCGTCCCCAGTGGGTTTGCTTCTCATGCCCATCCTTTGTGCCCCTTGGAGGGCATGTCTACACCAGGAAATTATTTCAAAGTAACTAACATCGATTTAATAACTCCTGAATAACAAAATCGAAATAGCACGTCCCACTACAGGGGAGACTCTAAATGAGTCTGAGGCAGGCTTCTTTAATGTGGACGCGCTACCTCAACTTAGTGCCCCAGTAAGTTTTGGGGAGTAATTACTTCAAATTACTTTGGGGAGTAGTTATTTTGGAATAGCAGCACCGCAGCAGCCACACTACCCCTATTTCGAAATAGCTATTTTGGAATTAGCGTTATTGCCTGAGGAAAGCAGGAGTACAGATTTCGAAATAGCCAGTAGTGTGGACACTGAAATAAGGGGGGTTATTTCAAAATAACTCCCTAGTGTAGACCAGGGCTGAGAGATACCCTCCTGAGTAATTCCTCTCCTCTCCTCTCCTCGAAAAGCCTAAGACTGTCATTTGGCGTATTCCACTGCTTCACAGAGGTGTATGGCTGATTTAGGGCTAGCTCACCATCTCTCAGGAAATGTCCTTTCCCAAAGCTCACTACAGCCCTGTTCCTAAAGGGGAAATGTGTCAGTGGGGCCAACAATATCTCCTGAGCTTCAAGTCCAGAAAATACTTCTCAGCAACATCCTGGTGCCATTGTTCTCATGTGGAAGAGGAGTCGTTTTTCACTTTCTTTCTTCCAGAGCACACCACAGGTCTTCAAATTGTGCTAGGACTCTAGTGAAATTAGAATCAGTCAGAGCTGCAAAAACATGGCCTAAACGAAACAGCCCACCATCATTGCCTGATGCAAAGGAGCCTGTTTTTTTTCACAAATGTAGAAGATAAGATAAGCAGACAGTTGTTCTCCCAGGCAGCACCCACAACTAAAAAGGGCCGTGGGGGCATCTTCAGAGAAATCACACACTGGGCAGAAAGGCAAAAGCAACAAAACAAACAGTGTAAAGCTGAGAACATGATCTGCAAATCAGGACAATGCAATGGAAGCCACAGATGACCTTTCTGCTGCCTTTTACTAGGTGGAGTTGTGCATAACTCAACATGCTTGGCAAGTTTATCCTCCTGCCGTCTTACGAGGGAATTATAGGCACCAACAACAGCGTCACAGTAAATGTCAGGAGGCCAGTGACTTGCCGAGGTGGATATCCATTGTGAATCCCCATCAAGCATAATGACTGTTAAAAAAAAAAAAAAAACTAATACAGGACTGTCAAACTTTTAATACCATGGGTGACTAGCTGGTGCACAGCAATTGCAATTCCAAAAAGCAGGATAAGAAAACAGGGATGCTTTGTATTGTGTGGGTACCAGCCTGTTTTAGGGACACCAATTCAAGAGGCTCCACTGACTGAAGCCCCTTCATGGGCTGTGGGGGACTCCCACTCTCTGCCTTTATAGCCTGGATCCTGGAGACAACACGAGGAGTAACTCTGATGGGGTAGGAGCATGGGAGCAGACAGAGCCCCACGCTGCCAAGGGTGCCACCACCTCCAAGCCGTGCAGCTCCCCCGGGGTGCTGGTGTGAGAGGCAGAGGGCAGAACAGTCATGGAGCTCCACTGGTGAAGGCAGGGAGTGAGCGGCTGCGTAGCACGAACATCTCCCTGTCACGACAGTGGGGTTTGCTTCAGTTCCCATGGCCTGCTCCTCCCCTCGCACACATCCCTGGCCTAGTAGGAAGGGGCTGAGGGTGAAGCAAGGGCCCAGGATGGAGCTCAGTGTCCTCTGGAGGTGAAAGTCTTTCGAGATGTGTGGGATTAAGCTGTCAGCAGCTCCTCTCTGCCCACTCCTCACCCCCAGGGACCGCCCCTCAGCCCTAGCAACTGCCTCTCACACCTCACCCCTATGGACCGCCCCCCACTCCTAGCAACTGCCCCCCACCCCTAGCAACCACCCCTCTGGGTGCTACCCCTGGCATTCACTGACTGCTCCCCACTCCCATGGGACCACCTTGGAAGAGGGCGCCAGGGAAGCAGGGGGATGAGGGAGTCCTGGTCAGCCTCAGAGCCAGTTGAAGCTGTTCCAGCGCGGTGGCTGGTGATCAGTCAAAGCAGCAAGTGGGAATCTCCTGGACAATTTACAACCAAATTTGGGAAAAGAATTCTCCACTCACACACAGACACAGAGACACACACACGCAATGCTGTTCCCTGCAGGGTCTCCCCACAGTGTTCCTTCACAAGGCTGACCTACAAGAGCTATCTTTCAGACACGCAGCCGCCCAGCTAGTTTGCCATTCCAGCACATGTTTACTTAGTCCTAAGTCCTAGATTCTCATCAGTTGCTCTATAAGAAGGATCCAGCCCACAGACTCCGTAGTGTAAACGCACATCTGGTCTCCATGTGTAATGCCATCAGCTGAAAGCGCCACGGAGCGCCGATAACAAAAATGTTCAGTGCAGCCAATCTGGCCCTGTTCATATCTGAGTCTGAGAGCTTTTGCTGTCAGGTGTTAATGTACTTTTAACCCCAGAGAGGATGAAGAGCTGCAAGACATCCATCAAACAATAGGTGTTAGGTTATTTTCATTGCTGTTGGCTCATCCCAGATACTCCACTTCCTCGGTCCTTTTTCTCTGGTGCACTCGTGGGTTTTACAATGCCTTTAACTATTCTCTCTGTAGTTTTCCATGCTGTGGAAAGTGTGAACAAAAGTAACAAAAGCCATTGTCTCCCTGAACTGTAAGCACTAGCAACTTTCACAGGGATTGACCTTTCCATGCCTTAAGAGATACTAAAATTGCAAGCCAGTTGGCAAGATGGAAACCACTTGTTCTGTGCATTGTATCATCGGGAAAGATTTCATGACAGGATGATCCCGTGGTTCCAAAAAAACCAAGAAAAGACTTATGGACATGTGAGGGGAAAGATCCCTTCCTTGATAATCTTGGAGTTCTAACATTCTTGCATCACTTTCCCCCACCTAAATTCAAGGTTTCGCCTCTCTCTCTTTCCCCTTTCACAACTGGCTGCATTAGTTTACATTTTGTCCCCAACTTTCTGTCTCTCCCCATCCTCCAAGTGCTACCGGCACCGGGTCTTGAAAACTCCGGTGTCCCCCCATTCCACGGTCCAACCGTGGCTTGCTTTTTGTGCCAGGGCATCACTAGTCCCTGATGTGGCAGTCCTCTCTTTTTGTTATCATTGCATGTTTTCACTTAAGCCATGTCTCCTTCGTTCCCTCTGGTGCCCGGTAAATCCAAACACAGGCTCAAAGAAGGTTATTTGGAGGTGGAACTTTACCTTCTGTGTGATGTGGTTGACCCAGGGAGAAGAGCAGTTGCTGAGGTCAGGCCCTTGTGGGTCCCAGATCCCATCAGGAGCGAGACACAGGAAAGTCGAAACACCTACAAAGACAACACAGGAAGGACTCTGTTATCACCTGGCAAATGTATTAATAAGCCTGGCTCCAGACTTTAATCATTTCATAAGGATGGAAACTGCACCCCACACGTGCAGCCTGGTGAAGCTCTGTTGTGAGGACTTCAGTGAGGAGCCATGCCTGGCCCTCAGTACTGAAGTATTCAGGTGCCTCCCACTCATTAATGTGTTTATCCCGACAAGGCCCCAGGACACAGATACGGAGCCAAGGCACAGGGAGATTCATCCTGGATCTCACAGGGAGCCTGTGGCAGAGCAGAAAATTGAACCAGGAAACCATGAGTCCTAAGCTTCTGCCCTAACCAATGGACCAGCCATGGTCTTTGTTTTGCCCACTAATGAGTCCAGGATCAGTCCCTCAGGCACCTCCCCTGCCATTTTGTGCAGATTGTGCTGAGCTGCAAAGCCCTGAAGCCACCGGGTTAGAAACACACCACGTTTATGAGTGACAAGGAGGAGGCAATATAGTCCCTTTAACTCCCGCTTCCCTCACCCTCACTGCCATACACAGCGACTCCCGTCTCAGCCACACAGCCATAGAAGGCCAGGAAGCAGAGCTGTAACGAGCCTGCATTCTGCCCTGCAGAGCCAAACTTTTCAAGAGGGAAGTAAATGAGATGCAGGGCCTGAGGTGACTCCCACTAAAGTCAACGAGTGTTTTGCCGATGTCTTCAAAGGGGGCAGGAACAGACGCAATGACAACACACGGCAGCGCTCGTGAATCGGGCGAATCTCAGGAATTAGGAGCAGAAAGGCCCATTGGCTGTGCTGGACCATCCCCGAACCTGGTGGGAACTTTTCCATATTCCAAAATACATCATCCAATCTAGTTTTCAATAACTCAGGTAGTGGAGCATACAGATTTTCTACCAAGACCTCGCAGTAAGGAAATGGCTCCTGATAGTCACCCTAACTTGGCTTTCACTTCATAGAATCATAGAACACTAGAACTGGAAGGGACCTCGAGAGGTCATCAAGTCCAGCCCCCTGCCCTCATGGCAGGACCCAGTACCATTTAGACCATCCCCGACAGATGTTTATCTAACTTGCTCTTAAATATCTCCAGAGATGGAGATTCCACAACCTCCCTGGGCAATTTATTCCAGTGTTTCACCACCCTGACAGGGAGTTACCACCTCCCTTGCTGCATTTTAAGCCCAGTGCTTCTCGTCCTAACCTCAGAGGCCAAGGAGAGCAACTTTTCTCCCTCCTCTTTGTAATAACCTTTTAGATACTTGAAAGCTGTTATCATGTCCCCTCTCAGTCTTCTCTTTTCTAAATTAAGCAAACCCAATTCTTTCAGCCTTGCCTCATAGGCCATGTTCTCTAGACCATTAATCATTTTTGTTGCTCTTCTCTTGACCTTCTCCAATTTCTCCACATCTTTCTTGAAATGTGGTGCCCAGAACTGGACACAATACTCCAACTGAGGCCTAATCAGCGCAGAGTAGAGCAAAAGAATGTCTTTCTTTCGGCCCTCGATTTTATGACCTAGATTTTATAGGTGACTATTTTATTCTCCCCTCCGTCGTCATGCAGCTGAGCTATGGGCCCAATCCTCCAATGGCCTAAACTCGGTATCATTATTTACAGCTATGTGAAGTGGCTGGAAAAGGCCCCCAAAAGACAATTTTATGCCCACTCTGCACTTACTAGGGCCAACTCTCCCCTCACGTATCGATTTCACTCGCTTGACTTCACCGGGTTTGAAAGGCGGCTCAGGAGCAGCGCACACAGGTGTGAAGGAAGACACCGGGAGCACGGCAGTGGAAAATGGAGACCTAACTTATTTTGCTCTTTTAAACTTTTCTCCACTTCTTCCAGCTCTTTATTGATTTTTTTGCTGCTCTTTAGCAAATTCCCTCCACCTCCCTCCTAATTTATTGGTATACTGCAGGGGCGGGGAACCTTTTTAAAGTCAGGGGCCACTGACCCACAGAAAAATCAATTGGGGGGAGGCGCACACAAGTGAGAAGCAAAACAAAAAACAAACCAACTAAAAACCTTCGCTGACACGGCCCCTGACTGAGAAGGAGAAAGACACTCCCCACAAACCCCTCACACACCAGAGCCAGGGGGACCCAGCCTAGTAGATTCTGTGTGCTCCAGACCTGTGGTGGGGCAGCAGAGGGGCTGGAGCACCAGCATGGGGTCCCCATCCTGGGGGGAGGGGCCCTGAGAGTCCAGGGCTTTATCTAGGCAAGCTGGGGGCTGCATCCGACCTCTGGGCCTGAGGTTCCCCACCTCTGGAATGCAGGTTCTCAGAGCTGGATGCTAGAACAAGTTCCAGGTTTACAATGATGCCCGTGATACTGACACGCCAGGTGCACACTCAGAAGGGGCCTGCCAGTTCGCTTCATCCACCCTGTGCCTTTACTCAGCCTCTTTCCCCATAAGGCCCCACCTGCTGCTTGCTCCTCTTGGTCCCTCCCCCACTGTTGCCATGCAAGCAGGGACGAGGCCTTGAGGTGGATCCCAAGTGAGGTCATGGGGTGAAGAGTTGGGGCACCCTGACTAGAACTGGTTAACCTCCCCCCCTCTGCAAATGACACATTTTTCTTAAGCATTTAGACAAAACCAAACCATCCACTGAAGTAGAGCTGGTCAGAGAAAAAATAAGTTTGAATTTTTGCTTTAAAAAAAAAAATCTCACTTTTACGTGCCGTGCTATGGAGCAGGGAGGCCTAGTTCACCCACCAAAACTGGAGACTCTTGGCCACACGCTTTAAGATGCCATCAACTGAAACACTCAGGGTCACACCCTGGCTAATGATGAGACTGAAGATAAACCCCAAACAATCAAAACCTCAACAACCCCTCCCCGCCGGCTCTGCTCATCCATCTCCAGGACAAACTACACCCTGTTCTCGACAGGGCGTTTCCCTTGGCAACACCAGGGTTGAATCCCACTGGATGAGCCCCCGCGCCCTGGTGTTCGCTGGGAGTTGAAGGTGCTCAGGACCTTGCAGGGAGGGCTCAGTGCATTCAGGCGCTAGTCCTCCGCCCAGCGAGGCGCTCCTCAGCTACCTGCCACACTTCATTAACTTGTTCCACAGGCGCCGTGCCTCGTGGGCCTGCCTGGGAGGAGACAGGGAGCGACCTATCACTGGGAGCTGCAAGCAGATCTCTGACCGAGTCATTGAAAGAACCAGCCAAGGGTCAGAGTGCCACAGAGTTGAAGGCCAAAAAGGACCAGCAGGTCACTAAGTCTGACTCCTTGGACTTCACAGGCCAACGCCACCATCTGGCACTGGCACGCGGCTGGCTAGGGTTACATAGACGGGGCTCACCTACTGTCCCCATAGGGCACGGCTGCTTTGCCAGCTGTCCTTGTCGAGTTCTAAACCACATGATCTCACGGGCTTCCACGGCCTCGCAGCTCTCTGCCCCCACCGCGGGCAGCTGGGAGGAGGCGGGAGGGAGGGGGGTGGTCATGTCGTCGGGGACATCCACCACCGGGGAGGGCGTGCTCGTGCTCCTGTTCCTTCTGCCCACGGCAGAGGCGGTGGTGGTGCGGCCGGTGCTCGTGGCGGGGAGGAGCAAGGTGGTGCTGGTGGTGGTGCTTCCTTGGCCGTGCGCCCGAGATGTCGATACTTCTGGAACAAAGCAAAAGTACATTAAAACCAAAGCGCAACTGCGGATCGCCTTGGCTTTCAATGCTTTAGCCCACAAGGGCGCGTAAATATTTCACGGCACACCGTTTTCTCTCCAGAATGAGCAAGGAGCCTAGGAAGTAACTGCATCAAAGCTGCATCCGAGTACCAACCTCATTAATGGCAGCTTTCATAGTCCTTCCCAAAGCATAAGAGAAACGCTCTCCTCACAGAGAGCAGCTACATGGTGCAACAAAGAGTAGGAGTTTGGTTTCTGCCAATCACAGATTAACACCTTAGTTAGCCCTCTGTGACTGCCCGCTGTAGGGGACTGCAATACAAACAGGCTTAGAAGAATTAGATTTTTATTGCTCCATATCAGCCAGTTTTGACCTCACCTATGCACACAAACCACTGAAAAAATGTTTCCATTAATAGTTAGGATGTATGGGTAGGCAAACCAAAAGAAGTGCCACTTGAGAACTTCTTAGTGTGAAAATCCAGAGATTTAGACTTTTGAACAAGGTTCATTACAAATAGACTAGCAAATAAATAGTAAAAAAACAGGCACGATAGATTGATGTGCGGAGATTTACTTTTCATATTGTGACACGCAATGTTGACAATTGCTACTTTAATGGTTCACAAAGCTTTGAGTTTTTGAATCTCAACTCTATTGTCATTAAATAACTGTCATGATTCTCTCCCCTCCCCCCAAAAATGAACATTTAAATAGATAAAAATGGTGGGAAAGGTTTAAGACCTATAATTTCGCACAACTGAAAACTGAAATTGACAGAAAGCTAAAAAAAAACCCGTACAAATAAACATCACCACGACGTGTCACAGTGATCAAGAAATAACAAGTGAATTCTGCCACGCCCATGGATAAGCTAGAAAATGGCAAGAGAAGAGGTGGCGATCTTTGCAAGCAGGCTGATGTCACTCCATGGTCTTAACTCATGGATGTACTGGAAAAGCCCTCCCCAGGAACTGCTGCTCCATGGAATTGCCAGCACCCTTCCTGTAGGGCCTCACAACAGTGCTGTCTTGTGGGGAGTCATTACGGCCACATGCCCGATCCTACCAGTAACAGCAGGGTCCTCGCGATGTAGCGGTTGTGGTGGCCTGAACGGAACGCCTCCAAGAAGGCACATTCATCGAGGGATGACTCATTCTAAGGATCTTCCATTCAAACTGGCAGCAAGGAGAGGTTAAACTCATTTAAACCCCCATTAACCTGCCTTCCACTGCATAATTGCTCTGCTAAGTGCTGTAAGTGAAAATATGGAGAGGCAGCCACCTTGCAATGACGCTGTTTTGCCTGCTATGTAGACCCACGCGTTGGCACTGATTCGGACTTCTGAAAAGCACCAAGGGGAGCGCTCGGATTCGGCTCTTCATTATAATTCACACTCCAGTCTGAGACGGCGCGGTGGGTCCTGGCTCCCTATTGCCTTGTCTCTTGTGCGTTCATTGGAGGTGCCCCCATTCTGCACAGGGGAAAGGAGTACATCGTGCACCCGCCCAGCAGAGTGCTGGCTTTCTCTTCGCCCCACCCTTGGAGGAAGGGATGCTTTTCCCGCCACCATTTCCTCCTCCCTCCCCTAGGACAGTCTATCAGACACTTCTGCTGGGAGACTGAGGCCTTCTACTTTTTGCTTGGAGTAACCATTTGCCCCTCTCTGGGTCTTGCTGAAGTGACCAGTTTGGGGAGGAAGAAGAATCCCGCAAGCCCCATTTCACAGCAAGAGAGCCATCGCTGCCCATACACTACATAACACCAGGTCCAGACACACGGGCTTTAGTTCTTTAAAAGTTCCTACGCTCCTTGAGGTCCTTCAGACAAACACTTTATTTGATCCTGCCTGGAGTGCAGGACACCAGACTAGATGTCCCTTCTCCTGCATATCTAGGACTCCATGAAAGTAGTGTCTGTGCACCTCACAACTGGCAGGGTGTTGATCCTCCTAGCACCCAGTTTGGTAGAGAAAGGCTACAGGGCCCATTACAAGGGTGGAAAACAGAGGGAAAGTGACATGGAGAATCCAACCCATGGACTCAAGTCCAGATCTTCCAGCATCTGAGGCCAGTGCCCTCTGCACTAGCCAATCTCTTCCATATGGTGCAAGAGGACGAGCTGAACTTTCTTGGCTAAATCCTAGGCTTGTAGGGTTTGCGATCACATGATCAGTTCAAAGCATTTTCTTTACAACTTGCCTCAAAGACACACCTATTGGGCCCAGCCCGAAGAGCTGTTTACTCACATGTATTCCACACCTTTCAGGAACAGGCTCTTTCTTATTAACCTCCTGACCCTGATTGGCTAGCACTCACAGCTGTGGTCTCTACCTGTGTACCCAAAAATGGGGTTTGCCAGGAGGCGGATTTGAAAACCAGGGAAGTTTCATCTGCGGGCTGCTGATCATATTTCCCAGCATGTTCACACTGACTCGCTGTCACTCTGTGTTCTGAGTTTGAATGAATTCTCCCCCCCTCCCTTCCCCGCAAAAATAAACACAAAGCAAAAATCCACCAAAAGCACCAGGTCTCCCTCTGTGTCTGTTCAAAGCTGTGCTAAACCACCAAGCTGCATGTGTTTCCCGTTTGAAGTTACCACATGCCTAAAAGACTTCAGCAAAAATAGTACAGTTAAATTTCACCAGCTTTTCTCTTATAATTTGACAACTGGCCACAAGACATTGCCAGAGATAATTGCAGAGATGGTTATGTCTATATGAGTTAAGCCCCCTAAGACAAAACTGGCCTGTACAGGTTGAAGCTCTCTAGTCTGGCACCCTCAGGACCTGAGAATTTGTCAGTCCACAGGTGGTCAATGTTGTCTAGCAGCATAACCAGCACTGCCACTGATCACTGGGCTCCTAAGAGACATTGAGGGGTACATTAGAGCTAAATAACAGCACAGAATACAGAGAGCCAGGACTGTCGGCTGTAAACAAACTTGTCCATAAGTGGACATCTGGCTAACTACAATCATATCAGATCACGGATGTCGCTAGACCGGTGAGTGCTGGACTAGAGAGGTTGAACCAGTCGTTGTGGATGACCACTCAATCATTTCCAAATGCAAGTGGAAAAGACAAACGGCTTTCCCAGCAGTCAGAGGAGAGCAATGCCGGAATTAAAGCCTAAGTAACATGACCAACATTTTCATTTATGGATGTCAAATATTCGGGTGGAGGGGAGGAGGTCCATATTCAGGCATTTCAGTAAGAGATCTGATTTTCAAAATGGTGAGCACTATGCAGTTTCCATGGACTTGAATAGTAATCAGAGGGTGTTTGAAATTTTGAGCCTGCCTTTTAGAAACAGTTATTGTAAATCTTGAACTATATTGTTTTCAGGTTGTAGCTCTGGAAGGGTTTATTGTATCAGCGATGCATGGGGAATTTACAAATATGTTCTCTGAGTCATAAAATAGCAGTTATTTTATCTGCCTAGACCCCTGGGCATTGATGCAAGAACCAGTTTCAAGGGGGTTTTTGTTTTTTCTCTGTGTGCGTGCGTGTGTTACGCTTACTAATAAATAAATAAAAACATGCTCAGCACTGAATTCAGCTTCACATCATATGAAGGACAAATGACAAGAAAGGATAAAACAACTGGCCTGAAGTCACCTAACAGTATTCAACGGGTGGGACACTACTCAGTTCAGTTCTACAGTCTCATTATTCAACAAGTCAACTTGGTAATGAGTACCAAAAGACGAGATTGAAATCTACAGTGAGTGCCTTCTGTGCTCTGTAAAACTCACTGCTCTTGGTATGGCACTCACACATCCATGTCCTTTAAAACCAACTTAATTGGTTAGTTGGAAAAGAATAAGAGATCGGAATGATTTACATATAAATAACTCTTAAATCCAAGTAAAACCTTGGATAGACTGCAACTTGTGCAAAATTACTTGATGTTCTACAGGACAGAATACAGATGAGCTACCCAGATTTATCCACACCACCAAGGAATGGTAAATTTTAGACTTGAAGAAAACCAGTGTTGCATGGGGTCATTTTAATAGAAGACATTACTTCCTAATACAATGTTTTCTTACTAAGGAGCAGTAATCTTCTAAAATCATTAACCTTATTACAACCAGCAATGCATATGTATGGTTATTTTATTTTACGGCTTGTTTGACTGTGTTTCGCCGTATTGAGAGTTTAAGGTTAGATTTAGAGTAAACAGATTCCATGACTGGCTTTAGACACAGAACACCTGTAAGTCTCTACACTTGGATTCAATGGAGCACCATTCTGGTGCTGAGCGTAACCCAGAGCTCTACTGGGAACGGCTGTACTCTGGTTTCTGCAACCCTCTCTTCTCTTAGCTATCCCAAAGCAATACGGTATTTTTTCTCCCCGTGTCCTATGCATGCACAGAACGTCCGCATGAGTAATAGAAGACTTGCTTTTCCAGTCATGCCCAGGCTGGAGGGATGGCTACGAAAGGGCATTTCTGAGGTCCCCAGCAAGAGCTGTAACTCACCAGGAAATACACAGCCCAACCTGATGGGCTGATTATACTTGGGAAAAAATAAGACCCATCTTCCTTGCTCTTTCCATGCCTCACATTTCACACAGAGATTGAGCCTTCAGGGGGCCTGCCCAGCCACACTTCCTTTGGGCTCAGTGGGAATTTTACCAGACTAAAGACTGCTCAAAACAAGCAGTGTTTTCAAGCATTGGGGATACGCATGTCCTTCATTTCTGATCTCTTGACCTAAAATGATAGGCTGTATTCACCTGGGCTAAGACGGTCACAGATTGGGTTCCTGTCACAGGGCAAAACCCACTTGTCATCTTATACTCAGCTACAGTCTCTCCTTTGTGGCACTGGTAGACATCGGACTGTGCTCACACGGGGCCACACACAAGTCTCATAGATGTTAAGACCAGTAGGGGGCATCATGATCACCTAGTCTAGCTCCTTGCACATTGCAGGTCTCAGAACCTCACCCACGCACTCCTGTAACAGACCCACAA